GATCCCACTCTTCTATCTTTAACATCCAGTCCATAACTTCGGTAGTGATAGAAGAATCCTTGCATTCTAAGATCCCACTCTTCTATCTTTAACATCCAGTCCATAACTTCGGTAGTGATAGAAGAATCCTTGCATTCTAAAGAGACGATCAGTCTATCTATGTACACAGTCCATAACTTCGGTAGTGATAGAAGAATCCTTGCATTCTAAAGAGACGATCAGTCTATCTATGTACATGTAACACAGAATATAACTTCAAGATAGGTTCAATGGACTATTCTAATTGCAAGAGAGACAAGAGAATGAAAATTACAGAATTATATCCATGGCTTGGTAAATGACTTGAGAACCGTTTTGAAATACTGGAAGTGTTGCTGAGAGATTCATTCGGAAGATTGAGGTGTCCATGTTCTTTCTTGTAATAGGGTTGACATGGTAAGATGTGTAGTCGATGCCACATTCTTCCAATGCAAGCCTCAATGAGGCGTCCATTTTCTTCAACTTCACAAGATTCATTTCATTGGAATGAGCAACAGAAGGACCTATATCATGTACATTCAAGGTAGAGAATTACTCACATACGTAATTTCAAAAAGTTCACAATCTATATCTTTTGGCCGAACAAGTCTCACTGCTCTGTTAAATACAATTGTATGCAATGTGCCTGCATTAAATAGATTAAAAATATATAGAAAAAAAAAGTGATTCAAACTAACATTTAATCAAACACATGAAGTAACAGACTACCAGAAGGCAAGTCCAATCACTAATAGAAGTTGGATATACAAATAATTATAGCATGTAGACTAAATAAGGATAGATAAAATAAGTGAAACAACATTACAATTTGAGCCTTTCAAATCTAGTATGCCACAAATTTCTCAAGTTAGATCCGAGACTTGCCTTTTTGAAGAAGCCATAGCACTTGTATTCCTTTTTTGCTAAGGTCAACATTAAAAAAAAAATATCAAAACCAAATTCTAAGAGCAATTTGCATAACATCTGAAACCCACCGGTTTAAGTAACATGAGCAAAGTCTTGTAGTAAGAATCGAGGAATAACAAATTCTTTAATGAGCAAAAAAGTTGTAGCAAATGCCATATGTTTGGTCATCTTGTACAGATAGTTCATAATAGGTCACGTATGTGTGATGCACAAGAGTCGAAAGAAATATCAAATGATTTTATGAAGTACAAGTTATAGTTTCAGTTCAATATTCTAAGATTTATTTCCTCCAATGAGTACTATGCCGTTTTTTTAGATGGCATAATTCCAAGGGCTAACGTAATATTAACTCAAACCCATCAGTCAAATCCCGACGCACTCCATCCATTACCAACCAACTTTGGGTCCACTTCTATAAAAGCCACCGTTTGGAGGCTAGTTCCTCATGGTAAAATATGATGCGTGAGCCTTGTGGAGAGTTAAATATGAAGAATGTTTGCATGCAAAATGGCGAGTGCAAGTATCACTACCCTAGAGAGTTTACTCCTATTAACCATCACCATCTTTTGGATTTAGATGCATGCTCAACTGCTGCATTACTGTCCTAGGCTGATTTATTTCGCATGTTTAGTATTTACTTTTGTAGATTGAGAGATGTTAAAATTCTATACAAAATTTGGTATATTCTTCGCACAGATTACGCTAACGGAGCAGTGAGACTTTAATCATCTTCAAATGATAATTCCAAAATTGCAAGATTGTTCTGAGAACATCAAACACCTGAATCACATATTTCTATCATTGACTCCTCTCATTATGATGTTTCCAGCAGTCTTGGACAAAGCGAGATGTGTTTCTTTAAAAAAAATTCAGATGGGGTTTCTCTTTAATTTCTTCATCTTATGCTTGTCATGCTCTATTCTTCGTGCTCGGTGCTCAAGCGTATCGTGCATTGTGACATAGATCAACATGTGTTACTGATTTAACCAACATTTCATGGTAGATTACAGGTTTAGTCATACAAATGCTAATAATCTGCTTCTTGTTATTCCTGTAAAAGAGAAATCTGAAGTATATTTCATACTTTAATGGATGAGTTTGGTATAACGGTTGAAGTTAACTCACGGTCAAATAATTGCTTATTCAAGGTATTCATGTAAAAGATAACATTGATAAAGGGTATATTAGCAATATTAGACCTTTGGCATGTGAGCCTTCAGCTACCATTTTCTTTATTCTCCTTGATACACTTAGATCAGTATCAACACAAACTACTATTTTCCTAGTAGTTTTTTCGAGGTCCAGTGATCCACGATAACAGTTACCGTGGATAAATATATATGAGATTTTTTTAAGTGTCAACTTAAAAATATAAATTATGGCAATTGTAAAGTATTAAAAGTACAAATTGATAGCTAAAAATTATTATAATAGTATTATATTATCAAGCGTATGATGCTTTAATATACTATAGGAATTATTATTTATGTGATAATGCAACTCCAATTAGATTATGACAGTACAAAATTATATTAAACATTTGTAGAAAACCCTTTAAAAGTTTTCTAAAAACTACTCCAAAAGTTTGCTAAAAAACCCCTAAATATTTGCAGAAAACACCCTAAAAGTTACCAAAAAGACCATCATTAGCATTCAAAAATCCTCATCCAAAGATCTCATCACCTTTCCCAATCTGAGTCTTTTCAGTAAATAATCGACGCAATGAAATAAGGTATCTTTTCATTCATCAACTAGGTCACAACATTGCCCTCACAAGCATGAATTAAGAAACCTCTAAACCAAAACATCATCAAATAAATTTAGAGATACAATAATATTTAATAGGGATAATTAGAAATTTGAGAGATCGACCTACGACTTCCGAGGGTGGTCCTTCTTCCTTGAAATTGCCACGAGAGTAATGCAAAGAGGGAAATGATATAGAAGTAAGAAAAGGGTAATGATTAATCAATTGGATTAAGAATAGAAGATAGATCATGGATAAATGAAAACTGAATTTGGAGAATTCAAAGAGATAGAAATGTGGAAACAGAACATCTTCAGTTAAAGATTAAAAACATGGTTATAATTAACAATTAGTGAGTCCAATGCAAGATCGAGAAAAACTCACTCGCAATAGGTAACAAGAGCAGTCCTAATCTCCCCGTTCCTCAGCTGCGGCAGCACCCTTCCGAGCTCTTTCGCGTACTTCCTAACACAGTGCGTGAAGCTCGTGCCTCCGCCCGGAAAAACGAGGTATTCCCCTTCGAGAAATTTATAAATCAAGCTAATTAATAAAATAAAAATCAAAATTAAATCAAAATTTATAAATTGATCAAGGCAAACCAGATTCTTCACTTCCTGATCCTTCCTGATGCCAAAAATCTGATATTTGAGGAGAAGATGGAATAGAAGGTATGTGGACGATGAGGATAATAATAAGCTTCTTGATGACAATAATAATAATCATCATTGTCATTTCATAACCGACAATTGATGAGGTAGAGAGAGTGGACTGCGTTGCTGGAGGAATTTCGTAACGGATGGAAGGAAGAACGGAAGGAACGAAGATTTAGGGCTTTACATCTTCTGATTTGTGAGCAACGGAAAGAAATTAGGCTTTGTTAACTTAAAGAAATGAAAATGAGGGCAACTTTGTTATATTTACAATAGTCGAAGGATAATTTAGGGTAGGAAAAGTTTTTTAGGTACTCCCTCTTTTAAAGGGTACTAGGTGAAATGCACGTGCATTGCACGTGATCAAATATCATAATTATTTTTCAGGTTTATTTATTTACTATAATATGGTTGCAAAAAACTTTATAAATATCATAATATATTAATTTTTTTTGGATATTTCCTTGTGTGGTTTTAACATTTTTGTCTTCCAAAAAAATATTGATGTTTAAAACCTTAAAATATTAACGATTTAAGATTAATTACTAATTTAAACGTATAACTTTAAAATATTAATGATGTAAGGGACCAATACGCAAAAAACCTATAACTATTAATAAAATAAATAAATTCTTGAATTCATCAAAGAAAAATGGTAGGCTTTATCTAATTAGTAAGGATTTTGTTCGGTTATGAAAAAATCACTTCCACCTATTGTTTATCAGGCGACCGAGTATTATAGATTTTCAAGAACTTTTTTCTAGAATTCTCTAAGTTATAATGTGCAAATTCAATCAAGAAAGAAAATATAAATTATATGATCAATTTTAAAATCTGTTATTGTACTCGTTTTACAATAACAGATTTTATATGATCAATTTTAAAATATGTTATTTTAAAATATGTTATTGTACTCGTTTTACAAAGGTTTTAAATCTTTTATAGGCTTAATTGAACTTAAATATTTTATAGTTTACAATAATTATATTTATATACCTCCACTTGTATCTTGTTGCACATTTTTTAAATTTTAGGTAGCATATCTAGCTTGCTCCACTTGTATCTTGTTGCACATTTTTTAAATTTTAGGTAACATATCTAGCTTGCTGCATTTAAATATCCTAATGTTTTTCAAAATATAATGTTTTTACATTCTGTCCTCTTACATAAACATAAGAATGCTCTTTGTAATTTTCCTATATGAGTTTCATGGTATAATTTTAGAACAATTCTATATTTTCTACTCTTTCCATAAATACTTTATTAACATGCAATTATCTATTAATATATTATTTTACATTACTAATAATTGATATGATGTAGAGTTTTACAATAGCGTTGGAAGTTTTAGGGACCAAATTATACAAACTTAAAGTGACGTATACTGTAATTAATTAACAATGATAATTAATTTAGTTTAGTTAGTATTAGAATGTAATATTAACAAAGAATAGGGGTAGTATAGTTTTTAAAAAGTTTTTCCACAACTCCCTCTTTTAAAGGGAGTATGATGATATGATATGATATGATATATATATATATATATATGATAGATGATAATTGACTAAAGCTGGGATTTCATCCGGCGGATCTGCATGTAAATATTATAAGATCCGGCCCGGATCTATCTCACACCCATCCCTTCACTAAACCCCGAAACAAGCTGGGTGCCTCGAACTCGAATCTCATTCTCCACTCCAATAAAGCCCAAGGGACCCGAAGGAATCGAATTCGGGTCCTCTTCTTCAAAATCTCCTCCTCCTCCTCCTAAGCCGCCGCCGCCGCCGCCGGTCGATGATG